GGGGGGGGGGTAGAGAAAGATGAGACAAATAGTAACAGAGAAACTTAGACGGAAACTGCGTGTGGGGAGAGGAACGACAAAGTTGACATAAGGATAAGACGATGATGATTGTTCGGGGGCGGGTTGGGAGAGTGTAGGGGGCGGCCAGGTGGTGAAAGTGCCGTCCCATACAGGCCAAACCATGGAGAGTTTTGGCAGACACTATCAGAAATCAATTTCGTTAGGTCAATAGTGCTGATGTCCTGGGGCTACGACTAGGAGGAAGCATTATATAGGAAAAGTATTGTTAATGAGTATCCAGGGAAGTACAAGCGGGCCTTGTCGCGCATAGAAATTTTGGCCAACCTTTACCGCATAGTGCGCGTTATTCATCATCATCATTATTATGAAAAACCAAACAAACCCAGAAAGCAGTATAGTTAAGACAAAAAAAATATTACAGAATTATTTCTTTTGTGTTGTTGTTGTTGCTTGCTTGCTTGCTTGATTGATTGATTGACTATTCGTTTGTTTGTTAAATTGTTTGTTTCTTTGTTTTTGTTAAGATATGTCTGGTCTTCAAAATCTTTAGATTGAAACAATACTTGAGTTTGTTCACGTATTGAATTCCCCCATGATCAAAGAAAGAATTAATTAAAAAACGCCCAATCCGTTTGATACGTTTAAACAAGTGACCAAGTGACCCTTTTACAAACTCCTGAGCTAACAAGTTGAAAAAATATCTACGATTCAGATCGTTCAAATACGACTTACTGGCGTACGTGATGTAGAGTTTATGCCCTTTGCAGCTGCAGACGGAAGGCAATAATTCGATTCCCGAGGTGAGAGAACGTTTGTCCTTTTATCAAGTATCTCCACCTCTCCGCTGGGACGTTCTATCAGCCCGGATTACCCCAAACAGACAAGGTCGAAGCAGCCCACTCCTTTAAATAATCTAAATTGTGTCTATTTGCTGTAAAACATTCACAGTTACGAAAAATATTCTAGCTTGCTCACTCCTGAGAAGTAAAAGTTGAGAGAGACTCACATGAACAGAGGTCAAGCTATCAGCAGCCTTGCAGACGTTTTGAATAATTTTTTGTTTATTAAAATAGCTTATATTATGTGTGTTTTGTGCGTGTGTGTTTTTTGTTTGTTGTGTGTGTGTGTGTGTGTGTGTGTGTGTGTATGTGTGTGTGTGTTTGTGTGTGTGTATGTGTTTGTGTGAGTGTGTGTTTCATTTTGACTTGGTAATGGTATGCTGGTTTGCATTTGAGGGGTAGCAGAGTCTTGATGTTTGTGTAGGCTCTTTTTAAAGCGTATATCATTCTTAATATCTTACCACAGCTCTTCACCCGTTGAAGATTAATGCATAGAGTTGGATTTCAAAATAAGTCGATAGGCAATTAGAATGATGACAACAACAACATTCGATTGTTGCCTAAATGTGACTCTCCATCACCAATTCAGCATCATGCTAAAAAAAAATAATTTAATTCTGTGTAAATGCCTTTTATATAGCATTACACAAACTATGCGTGGCTAACGATTATATATCAACGGCACATGTGGAACAGTTCTAACTGGGGATAACAAGCAAAGTAAGTTTCTGAAATACGCAACTGCCAAAGCAGCTTTTACATCCAAGTCTAACAGTTACACATTCTGTCCACGTGTTTAGCCCTTTTGTCCCATACAAACTAAGAAACAAAATGCTACCTTTGTTTAATTCTATTGTGTTTGATCGCAGTTGCTCGGTAATTACTTCTGAAATGTATTTGCCTTAGAGCAATTACTTTGTTTGTAGTTATCCTGTCTGTTTTGCTGTTGTTGTTGTTGCTGTTGTTGTTGTTGCTGTTGTTGTTGTTGTTGTTGTTGTTGTTGTTGCTGTTGATGTTGTTGTTGTTGTTACTCTTGCATTTTTAGAAAGAGAGATGATAGAAAGGGGGGGGGGGGGGCATTGAAAATAAATTAAGATTTCTTTGCCACTTTCAACACGATTAGATCATATAAATACCACAGATTAGAAATATTACTAGAGAGTAACGTGCAAAGTAAAATAAAAGGACAAACGATGACGATAGCTGTTTGATAGAGATTGCAAACCACAACAGAGCGCCCGCCAACCACCAGCACTGGGGGGAGGGGGTGTAGGTGGTGGAAGAGGAATGGACACACACTTGGTTTGACAATTTTTGTACGAACCTTGACCTGTGCCAAGAGTGGCGTCTATCGATGGAGCTCCGTTGACCTCGTTCATCTTAGCCTGCACGCGCACCAGCTGGTAATCCTTGAGAGTGGTCCAGTTATCGTTAGCGTCCTCAAAATCGTGAACGTCAGAAGAGATTTCAGAATCCACATAGACCGATGACGTCATAGTTTGCATGCACACAATCCAGCAAAGAACAAGAGGCCATCTTTTTATGATCCTTGGCACCATTATGATTGTGATAATGTTTTAAAACTAATATCTTATATATCACTTAAATTCAACATTCTGGTGCAAGATCAACACATAGAGAAACACTTTCTCACTTAATTACAAACACCTTAGAGTGGATTCCTTTTGGTGTAACGTCTTAGTTATATTGCTGTCCCTCCAAATATTTTAAAACGTTATTCCTTCTTAAAATGCAACCTCGTTATGCCATAGAGAAAACTGTTGACGCAACAGAGAAAAAAAATACACTAGGCCTTGACACCGGAAGAATAAGACACTAGTAAGAGTATGGACTCAGGCACGAGCTTGTCTTCTTCAGGTTCTAAGAAATTCAAGAGTTTGGATTCAACGAGCTGTCGTTGATATTCTGGAAACACCAGTAGCAGATTTGGAGACCTGTAAATAAAGACAAAATTAGATCAATTATTTGACAGTGAGTTCAACCCTGCTCATACTTTATTGAAAAATGAGATGAAACTTAATGTCACACGCGGACAGTAGTTCTGGATTTGGTTTCGCTTCGCTTTCCCCTTAAAGAACTGAGTAATTTGGGGTTGTCAATTTTATACAGCAATGAAATAGACACAGTTAATGATACGATGCTGGATCAGAAAGCAATGGAAATTTCCGTCTAACGGCTAAGATATCGACTTCAGTCATAGAAGCAATACATTTAATTAATCTATAACATGTCTGCTCTCGAACCAAGCATACAGATTTCATGTGACGTCACTCTGGATTATTTCATGACGTTACAAAGGATAGTTTGCGCGCGTTAGGAAACAAGACGACATTCACAAAGGAAACATCCATTATACCCCTTTAGGCAAGGCAACCTTGACTAATCGCCAAATGTAATTCACAAAAATGAGTAATGTTTGTGAGGAATCTGCTTGTTCACATAACACCGTTTATTGTAGGCACATAACACCGTTTATTGTAGGCACATAACACCGTTTATTGTAGGCACATAACACCGTTTATTGTAGGCACATAACACCGTTTATTGTAGGCACATAACACCGTTTATTGTAGGCACATAACACCGTTTATTGTACGCACATAACACCGTTTATTGTAGGTACATAACACCGTTTATTGTAGGCACATAACACCGTTTATTGTAGGTACATAACACCGTTTATTGTAGGTACATAACACCGTTTATTGTAGGCACATAACACCGTTTATTGTAGGTACATAACACCGTTTATTGTAGGTACATAACACCGTTTATTGTAGGCACATAACACCGTTTATTGTAGGCACATAACACCGTTTATTGTAGGCACATAACACCGTTTATTGTAGGCACATAACACCGTTTATTGTAGGCACATAACACCGTTTATTATAGGGTAAGAGAACTTAGTGACGGGAAAAGCACTGTTTTTGAACATTTGCGTCCGCCCCCCACCCTCGCCAGTTGTTATCTAACATCACGTTGCATAAGATCCCCATATTTCTGTACACGAACTTAGTGCCATGTATGTACTTAAATGGGTTGGTGAAAACTGTTATTCATGGAGAACTCCTTATGTAAAAAGTGTGTGCCAGTTAGATATTCAAATTACCAACTTAGGAAATTAGAAGAAAGAGGATGAATTATATGTGCTACAAAATCGCTCAATATATTCGAATTCCAAAAGCCCAAGCGACTTACAGGAATTGTATTGGGAGACAAAACTTCCTGTTTTGGAACTCAATTGAAACGGCTGAATCACATCTGGATAAAAGACAAGAAAGACAAAACTGGCACTTTGCACTCACGATTTCAAAGCACAACGAGGCGTTTTAGCCGCATTTAGCGTATTAAAAAATTACCATGGCCCCTTTCTGGTTTAAAATTATGTCACAGCATACTATAGCCACTCCTTACTGTGTGCAGACGTTACTACCCCAGTTGTTTTTTTTTTTTTTGGGGGGGGGGGGGTTTGTTTTCAACATCGCGGCTTGATAATATGAAGTAAATGTCTTCTTTTTCTGCAGGGTAAGTACAAAAGCAAACATTTTTACGGGACAAATGCAAAGCTGTGAAGAACACGAACAGGCTCATTAGACCATAAGCAACACATTTATTATTCAATGTCAACAGATACGATCAATTCCCGGCAATATCTGCAAGTGTCATGTTTTTGTTTAAAAGAATCAACTCTTCGGTCACGCTTTTCAAAAAAGAAAAGAATGATGTTACTCGTAGGGTTTTACACCTAGAGAGGAATTTCATCAGAGATGTTTATTTTTCCCATCTGTCACTTTTTCCATAACTAAACGCCTCCTGGTTGACACAAGAAGAATTATATTTGTGAGAGGCAAGGTTTTCCATTGAGAACATGTTTATCTATAACGTATGGTCATTTTATGTTGAGGTATTTATTGCGTCGTCAAGAGATTAGTTTGTGGGCGGATGAAAAATGTTTTTCTCCGAGTTTTCAAATGCCCAATTTCACGGAGAATAAGAAAACATATATTTCTAATTGACAGTCAGAACTGGGTAAACCAAAGTTCATGGAATCGCTTGCATTTTCATATCATAATTCAGTCCACGAAAGATATCATCAGCATGTTCAGGCTAAACACTCCCCACACTTCAATCTAGCGCCTCTTTTTTCCCCCATCACTTCGCCGCCCCCAGGTGTTTTCTAATACGGGGTGCCCACTACGGCTGGATCGGGCTGATCGTCCGACTCGATCGCCTGAAACTGAAAACAAACACGTTTGTTTTTCAGGCGATCCTAAAATCCTAATCTATTTCTGTCTTAGTACGAGTTCAGTGCCTTTCCAGATTTACAATTCAATAATAAATATGACAGTTCCCATTTCGCGTGTTTGTGCGACTTTCTTGTTTTGTTTTTGTTTAAAAAAAGAACTCTGCAAAAAGGTAACTTTAAACTCCAGAAAAATGATTGATTCTGGTAAATTAACTGAACACATAGTCGAACATTAGTGTCTCTTTGATACAAAAGTGCATTTTTCGGTTGTTTGTAAGATTGATAGATAGGTAGACAGACAGACAGACAGACAGACAGACAGACAGACAGACAGACAGACAGACAGA